TTTATTTGTTTTTAACTTATAAAGTTTTAAAGTCATGTGACATTAGTGCGGTTTATAGATGATAGCCACCATAGTAAAAATTTAACCCTTGTGACACATCTGGGCCTTATCTACGAAAATGACATCGGAGGACAATAACATTCTTGAAGACCACGACCTTTCTTTATTTCAGGTGAATAATCCCGCTACGGAAATCCAGCATGAAGCATTTTTCTCTAATGATATGTTAGGAACCAGAAGGTTTTCGACCTCGTTCACCCGAACCAACATTCCAAGTATTCGAACGGCAACCTGAGCACGTCGAGCCTGGTAAGAACTGACGGAAACTATATAGTTAACACCTTTGTTATTGTGTTTTCCTCATTTTGGTTTGAATTTTCCAGGTACTTTGGATCGGCTGACTGTGCGTCTAGTTGGATCACACCCGCTATGGGGTCATTACTTGTGGAATGCAGCGAAATGTCTTTCGTGGTATTTGGATGAACACAAGGAACTTGTCAGAGGAAACAACGTACTAGAATTAGGTGCGGGTGCGGCCTTGCCTTCTTTCGTGGCTATGTTGAATGGTGCTGAAAAGGTATGCTAATAATATCCGTACTTGAGTGGCTGATTCAAACATGCAGTGCATCGAATAAAATGATTTATCGTTTTGATGATTTGTAGGTTGTGATTACGGATTATCCTGACAATATATTAATGCAAAATATCGAGTATAATCTGTCTAACATATTTTCCAACTCACAAGAACGCGAAAAGTTTGCCGTCATGGTAATTACGTCTGTCTACCATCTGCATTTTATCCACCTTTTCAACTTACACTTATCATTTTCAGGGTCATATTTGGGGCAAAGATACCCGACCCCTCTTGAATCTCATTTCAAGCAATTCATCACAATCCTCCGACTTTGTCTCACCTCTGTTCGATCTGATAATACTTTCTGATCTGATATTCAATCATTCACAACACAACGCCCTTCTCTCTACATGTCAATCATGTCTGTCTCCGTCTGGGGTTGCGCTCGTTTTCTACACACATCATAAACCACATCTCGCACACAAAGATATGAATTTCTTCGAGTTGGCTCAGAAGGAATTTGATTTTCGTGTGGAAAAAATCTATGAAAGAAGAATGACTCCAATGTTTGAGAAAGATTATGGTGATGTAAACGATAGAGCTACCGTGCATGGTTATAAAGTCTATAAAAAATAATGAACTCGCAGAGTAAGACTGTAGGTAAAGGATTGATGTGGTCGTTTAAATTATATACTGTGGAATGAGTTACTTTGAAAGTACTTTCCGCGCTCTTGTTTCTATAAGTTTGATCCATTGTATCAGCGGATTAAGAATCTCGTTGATTACGTATGCCAACTACAGGTTGTCTTATGAAGGCTTGTTCCAAAAAAAACTAGAACGTATGTCAATATATTTGTTCCGAAGATTAGCTTACTATGCAAAATTTTGATTTTTACAATACCCTTTTGTTGGATCGTTGGACTGGAAGACGTATACACAAACAGTTAGTTTCATCAGGTCAGATATTGAGAATCATTAATTAAAGGCGACAAGTAGGCATAAGAATCTGTCCAGCTGATCATAAATAGAATGTTTACAGAAAGGCTGTCAAAGGAACTGAAAGAATAACAACATTTTTAATTAAAAATTCGATTCCAGATGATTTTGATGAGATTTTAGGTGAAT